ACTGCACACAGACACATGTACCTGGCTGCATACCAGAGAGAGCGCATCTGCTGTTATTGGGATGGATGGAATTACCCAGAGAAAGCACAGAATGAGGAGAGAAATATGTACTTTGAATAACATAGAGTAAGATCTATAAGGTAATACAGAGACCAGAACAGCTGCAAAGAGTATGGAAGCTAAAATATGGGAGTAGTTAACTATGACAGAAAGCTGTCAGTCACATGGAAAGGTGAGTGTCTTTCAAAAGCAAGTCTACCGGAGTTGGCAATATGGAAATTACAAACCCCAAATGAGTATGTTTCTCAATGGGCAGAGGGCAGCTTGGATGGGGGTAAATAGGTCTCAGAGGTGGGAGGCTAGTCAGAAGCTCACCAAAGCTAGGAGTGAGATATGACCTCCTCTATTTCACCCAAGCCAGAGTTCTCCAGATTGGCAGGTCTGAGCTGATCATGGAAGATTCCCTTTACAGCCCTAGAAGACAACGTAGGCAAAAGGCTCTCTAGCCACGGCCTTTCCCCTGATCTCAGCTTCATCTCACCCATTTCTGGCAGGAGAGTGCCATTCCCGTTCACACCTCACCCAGGAAACCTCTTGGGTGTTGTGTTGAGCATTTGGGGCTGTTCTTCTGCCTCTGCTGGGACAGCTTCTGCACACCCAAGAGGTGTATGAGGAAGGCACAGAGAAACTCCTAACACCCTCTGGTGATAAAGAGTTGACCTTCACTTTTCCTTTTCTGGACGTTGTGTGAGGCCTCCCAACAGGTCCCAACCTACCCATCAGACTTCAGCTACTGTTCTTTGGCACACTCCGCACAGCCTAGTCCTTGCACTTTGGAATACTTTCTTTTCCCCTCCCCTAAACCTCCTGTTTTTCTCTTTTGGATTGGTCCCCTCCCCTTGCCTTGGTGGATGTTCCGGTGTTGTAGAGACCAACCAGAAACACTGTACCTTCAGAAAACCCTTCCTGGTCCTTCTTCCCAAGGCATTTCTCTTACTTTGCTGCACGGTACTGGTTTTGCTGACGTGAGGAAGCAAGGAGACGACTACAAATCCCATTGTTTTCTTTGCGGCACTTGTGTATCAGGATACTTGCTAAGTGAGGGTTCACTGCAGACTGACTGGGAAACCAGTGGCTCTTCTTGACGGAGAAGGAAGACTTTGAACATTCTGCTGAAGACCGCATTGAGCAGATGCACCAGACCCAAGTTAGAAATAAGGAAGTGGGGCTGGAGAGATGGCTCAGTGGTTAAGAGCACTCACTGGCTGCTCTTCCAGAGGACCTGGGTTCAGTTCCCAGCACTCACATGGCAGCTCACAACTGTCTGTAACTCCAGTTCCAGTGGATCCGACTCCCTCACAAAGACATGCAGGACAAACACCAATGTACATCAAAATAAAAAAGAAAGAAAGAAAAAGAAAAGGAAGGAAGGAAGGAAGGAAGGAAGGAAGGAAGGAAGGAAGGAAGGAAGGAAGTGATGCATATAGTTCTCAATCTGGCTCCTCATAGTCACTTGGGGAAATACTAAGTCACTTGAGTTCAAGTTTCAGTTACAACATTATGGCTATCAAATGATTTAAATAGAAGTCTCCCCTTTAAAATGGAAATTAAATCCACTTTGGGATGCCATCTCACTCCAGTCAGAATGGCTATGATCAAGGAAAAAATGACAATAAATGCTGGCAAGGACCCGGGAAAAGAGGAACCCTTATTCAGTATTGGTGGGAGTGTACACCTAGTATATCCATTATGGGAATCAGTGGGCACTGTTTAAAAAGAATTAAAATAGAACTACCATATGAACTACCATACCACACTACAGAACTACCACACCACTCCTAGGCATATACCCAAAGGATTCTATAGCCAACTACAGAGATATCTGCCTATCCACGTTTGTTGCTGTATTATTCACAACAAGAAGGAAATGGAACTAGCCCAGAAGTCCATCAATAAAAGAATGGAGAATGAGAACATGGCACATATACCCAGTGGAATTTTACTTAACCATAAAGAGAAATAAAAATATGAAATCTGCAAGAAAATAGATGGATCCACAAAGTATCATATTCAAGTAAGGTGACCTGGGCTCAGAAATAAAAAAAAAAAAACCAAAACCAAACAACCCCCCTCCCAACAACACCCCCCCCCCATTCTCATGTTCTCAAGGTAGGAGGCCACAAGAGAGGAACAAGAACTATTGAGAAAGAGGGGAAAGGTCAAAAGGTCAGATGTAACAGGAAGTAGAAAGGAGGTTACAGGGGTCAAAGGGCACAGGAAGGGAAGAGGACTGGGGGGGGGTGTGAAGAGAAACAACAGCAAAAATTTTATTTGAAAAATGCCATAATGAAACCTAACCTAATTCTTTGTATGCTAATAAAAAAAAAAAAAAGCCTATGCCCTCCCTCCCTTGAGGAAGTACAACATTTAAACCACAAAGGCACATTCTCTTTCAATCCTGGTTTCTTGCTGTTTTAGTTGTGGATCTAGTATTGCACAATTCTTTCCAAAATATCGAAAAGGCACGCTTCTAGCCCAAACCTCACTGCACCTTGCTTCTGTGACAGAACACTGTACGGGAGTGAAAATCCAGCCTGCATCGTCTGCCACACACGGTACCGGCTAAAGCAGACACGACAACCAACCCACAGACGACAGTGACTCCCGCGCCATATGAGTTCCCACTAAAAAGTTTACATCGGCAAAGTTCGCAGGGCACAAAAACTCTATAGAAACTGGCTCAGTAAAATCTAAGCTCCGAAGTGGCCCTCAACTCACAGCAATTATTACAACCACAACTTTGGATACAGATCTATAATAATGCAATTTATGATTTCTTGGGGACTGTTCTTGCTTCCCTGCACCGACAACACCGAAACCAGCAATCTTAAAATATTGAAAGTATAAGTTAAATGAAACAAACAAAATCTTTTCCAAACCTCAAAGGCAAGAATTCAGTAGGGTATGTCGACGGACTATATTGTAAGGAATTCATGGCTGTGCAAATTGGTTCCAAGGTAGGCACACCCTTCCCTACATAGAAGGAAGTTTCGCTATCATATCTGTTTATAGCCCAAGTTGACTTCTTTGGCAGAATATATTTTATGGAAGGAATTGGCACACACACACACACACACACACACACACACACACACACACACACTTTGTATTTACTGATTTACAAGGGACTTGAGGCCACAGAGGGCTCTCCTGTGTAGTCTTGGGAAATATGGGGCTGCTCCTGTCCAGTCCCTCCAGGCTTCCTTTACTAGGGGATTCAGGCTTTGTGACTGCCCCAGCAAGGTTACTCCCCTCCCCACTCCCCAATCAGGGTGAGGCCAGGGGCATGAGAAGGATGCCCTTCCCTAGCCAGGCTTTCTCTTCCTTGGCTGAAAAAAAAATGAATTTCAAAAAGCCCCAAACAAAACAAACAGTTCTAACACACATGTGTAAAGATATAGTCACTCTTTTTCAGGTTGTGTCTTTTGAGATGGCATGATTCACCCAAAATAATATGTCCCCCATTTCTCTCATTTCCAGAAAGGCGAGAACACAGTGTGCTCAGGTGCTGTGCAAAGCAGGGTTCACATTTCTTCACCACCAACCAGCCTTCTCTACTGAGCTTTTATGCTTAAAGAGCAAAGTGCAAACTCTGGGAGGAAAAAAGGAAACAAAACGATCTGTCAAAATTCCTTTTAGCACCTATGACTAGTGTTAACTTACATGCTCCGAGAGTGCAAGAAAAAGCCCCAAAACTGCTGCTAAAAAGATGATTTGACCTTTTAAAATGAGAACTCCTCCATCCCATATCCATTTTAAATAGGTAAATCTTGGGAGCGCCACAATTTTAGACTAAGAAATGAAATGAGGTTGAATTTCCAGAAAAGGGGTTTCCCTAAAGGCTACAAGCTAATTAGGGTGCTCTAGACCAACACTGTAATAGTAGGTAGAATGCAGGCCCTAAATCTCCTAGCCATATATAGTCGCCACGTGCACGGAGTCTAGTTCTGAAAAGGGACAGGAGGGCAGATGAAAATTTAGTAAGTAACAAAGTCCAGAACGCGACCTCCCAAAGCCTGCCGTTCCAGGGCAGGATGTCCGCCCCTGGTGGCGGCGGAGCCCTGGTGATCTACGTGCACCGCGGCTGCCAAACCCTTAGCGCGCACCAACCGGGCGCTGCTGAAGGAAGTTGGAGAGCTCCCAGCCAGCTGACTGGATTCGGCGGTGGGCGCCTGGGATTCTCTTCCAGCGCCGCAATTAGGAAAGTTTTGAAAAGTAAAGACCCCAGACAGTTGAAGGGACTCATCCTTTCCTTAAGCTTAAGAAACATCACGAGCCGCACCAGCCGGCTGCCAGCACAAGGCCACCAGTTCCGCTCGGCCCGGGAGCATCCTGTGCCTTTCAGCTTCCCACCACCCCAGAACTGGTCCTTGGGGCGCATCGCCAGAGAGGCGCTCCGCCGGGCTGGAGGTTCCAGACGGAGATGCTGCTATGCTCGCTGGCCTGGGGGACGATGGCAGAACCTCTAACTCCCACTCGGACGCCCTGTACCTTCTCTTCCAAGCCGGCTTGGTTTTCTCCAAAGGACGCACGACACAGACCATGCGCCCCCAGCACTCCACTCCTCTCCCCAAACTCTTCCTGGGGAGACCCACAAACACAGTCTGCGCCCCAAAACTCCCATGACACTCGCCAACCACCCCATCTTTGCCTCTCGAGCCCTCCCAGTCGCGTTCTTCCTGCCCCTCACTATTCTCCTAGCCTTTCTGAGGAAGTCAGAAGCAAAGCACGAGAAAATGCCTTCGCCAGGAGCCTCCCGTCACCCGCCCTGTCACTGAAACAAAAGCGCAGGGAGGAGGGAGGTGGGTGGGGAGGCGGGAGGAAGGTTCGGAGAGAGATGGGGACAACGGTAAGAGGGGCTGGGGAGGGGGCCGGAATGGAGAGCGGAGAGAGGGGCCAGGACCCCGTTCCCGCGCCGCGTGGCGTGGCCGGTCGCTTACATGCCCAGGTCGCTGTAGGTGTTGAAGAACTCCATCTGGTTGCACGCCTGGATCCAGCCCACCACCCAGGTCTCGTGGCGGGGGATGGGGGGCATGACCACGCGGGCCGAGGCTTTGAAGTAAGGGGTCTTGTAGCGCAGGACGATGGGCGAGGTCTCCTCGATGCGCGTGGGGCACTGGTCGATGGTGGCGCACACATCGTACACCACGATGTTCTCGCGCCGGATCCGCGCCTTGCAGGTGATGCTTTGGATACAGCCCATCCTGCCGCCCGGCGCCGGGGCGGCGCGGCGTGGGGCAGCGCGGGGGCCCGGCGCGGGCAGCCGCGGGCGCCCGTCACGCCGGCATGGCGACGCGCCGCTCGCTCCCGGTCCAGCTCAGCTAGCGCCTAAGAGCGAGGAGCCGCCGCCGCGGGGCATCCTCCGGGGAAGCCCCCTCCCCTTTCCGCGCGCTGGGTCGCGGCTGCCCCGACGCCCGCCCACGCCCGCCTCCTCGCTCTAGCAAGGGCGCGCGGAGCGTGCGCTCCTAGGAGGCGGCGGGCGCTCTCCCCGGCTCCCGCGCCCCGGCGGAGGGCAGGGAGGGGAGCGGCGCTGCGAGGAGTGCTGCCCACCCCGGGCCGGAGCCCCCCGCCCTTCGCCGGAGAGGAGGCGGCGGTGGCGGCGGCGGCATGGAGCTGCGGGAGGGTGGCGGCGGCGGCAGCGCCCGGTCTGTCTGTTTCCGCGGCGGCAGCAGCAGCAGCCGCCGCCGCCGCCGCCGCTGCATGAACCTCTGCACCGCGGCTGCCCCCCGCGTGCAGCGCACCCAGCGGCGGGCGAGCGGGCGGCCCGAGCGGCAGGCGGAGGCAGGCGGCGGCGGCGGCGGCGACCGCGCTCCCTCCCGCCCCTCCCCGGAGTCGGACAGCGCCCACACTCCGGCACCCGGCCTCGGGGGCGTGGGGGGCGCCAGGGGGTCGTAGCCCTGGCTGGAGAGCCCAGCAGGCTAGGGCTACGGGGGACGTGCTCCGCGGAAGAGACTGGCTGTACGCCATGAGTTTGTCCCTCTTCGGCTGCCGTCCGGGTGGGGGGGGGTTGTGTAGTGTGCAAGGGTGGGGGTGTTTAAAGGGCCGCTAGCTCCCGGGCGGGGCCCGGCACGTGGGGTTGGGCGGGGCCGGGACCCCGATAGGTGGCGCCCCGCAAGTGGTAGTGGGGTGCAGACATAGGACCCTATGTGTTGGGTGTGGCCGAAGGGGCCCGGCGCTGTTCGGAGACCGGGTTAGGGATTCCTGGAGGAGAGAACGTTTGAGGCAGCTGAGGGGCTGGAGAACCAGGTTTCTCATGAGATTTCTCGTTATTTGTGATATAGTTTGTTAGAGTTGGGCGTGACCTCCTCTGGTATCCTATCCGGAGGAAGGCTGAAGTGTGGGCTCCAGCAGTGACACTAAATGGATTTACCTCCTTCCCCGGCCCGCCTTTCCCTCTAGTTACTAGAGTCTAGTAGAAGCCTTTCTTTGCACCACTGTATTGAGAGTGGGTACCTGAGAAATCCCACTGGAGGCTGACACCAAATCACCAAAATGCTGGTGTTAGTCGAAGCACGAGCTCAGCTTACTCGTGGCCTGCTTTCATCCAACCCCTCCACAACCCCCGAACGTACTGTACTCTTTCATCAGAACAACACACGCCAGGGCATTGAAGCTCCTTGGGAAACACTGCCTTTTCAATGTCTCGCATCCTGAGACAGGTTTTGCTTAGCAGGACCATTTAGCTAGATCAGAAGGCTTAGCTGCTTTCCCAGGGTTACCTAAGGCCTGTTATGTACAAGGGGATGTTCAGGACCTTACGGAACCAGGGAGGATTAAAGAGTAACTACTTGATCATACAAAGTCAAAACGCCAATTTGTAGTAAACTATCCGGGCCACAGACAGCTGGGGATCTCTGGGATCCTCTCTTGTCTTTGCTTCTCTGGAAGTTGCATAGTGACCAGCACATAGTAACTTCCTAACAATTGTGTTGGAGTGAATGATGGACGAGCATGCCGCTTGTCTACAGTTCTGATGGGAACTGCCACCACAGATGCGCAGCACATTTCATTCCGTGTACCTGCCATGTGTGTGTTATTGTGATCTCAGGTGTCAAAGAGGAAGAATGTTAGCAGATACATTTTTTTTTAAACTGTGCATCTTCTCACATCTTTCAGAGCCAGGAGCTTCTTTTAGCCCCCCCCCCCCCCATGATCATTGAGCATTTCCTGGATCTGGTAGTCAAGTGCACTCCTCTAACAGGCCACAGGAGCCTGCTGGGGTTAGTATTTAGTTAGGACAGATGTGATGAGTAACTTAAAAATTGCTGGAGATCTAAAAGCAGCCTTCGCCCTTGCCTTAGCTTTCCTGACACTTGGGTTCACTTTATAGTGAACAAAAAAGCAATTTTCTTCTTTTGATGACATGGCTCATTTTATGATGTTCCTGCAGACCTCAATCACTGGTCCTTTTTATGCAGCAAACACTTCCTGGTGGCTTGGCAGGAGCCAAGTATTGTGCTAGGGACTGGAGATTCAGAGTTGAGCAAAAAAAGCACATGGTTCCCTTGAGAAAGCAAATCTGGTACCAAGTTGTTACAGTCAATTGTGCCGCTGCTTTAATAGGCACATATACCCAGCTGCTTTAATAGGAACATATACCCAGTGCCATGGGAGGCCAGACGGGAGAGCCACTGGGATTAATAGATGGCACTACCGAAACAATGACAATAGAATTAGATCCTGAAGGACTGATGGGGGCTAGCCGAGAAGAAGAGTGAAGGGTGAGAAAGAAACCAGTGTGTCAAAAGGCATAGAGATGTGACAGAACTTGGGCACATCAGGGGCAAAACAGCTGGTAATCCAAGTGTTTCTCAGTGTTATGTGTGGACAATGGGCTTCCAATCTCTGTCCCCAAACCAGTTGTGGATACAGAAGTTGATCTTCAGAGGAGGCTGATGAAAGCAAGTTCACAATTTGAGGGGGAGAAATGACTCTGTATCAATGTGGAGATTAGAAATAGGCAAGATTTCAAGGTCTGTGGTGACAGATGATTTGGCCTTGAGTCAGGGTAGAGCGATGGGGCTTCGGAAACCTGGCTGCATCTGAGAGTCCTTAGGAGGTAAATTTGATTTACTCAGTGATTGATTAGTGTCAGAAGAAGGTCTGGGACACCTGTTGGGTTTTCCAGCTTTGACAATCAAACACGTGACCAGAAGACAGAGGAAGGAGTGTGTTGGGGTTGTGAGTCAAACCATGTTGAGTTGGAGGTGCTCGAGAAGAGCCTCTTTCGGGGAGGGGCCCAGAGTTTGAGTTCCAGTGGTTATTATCTTCTAGGAAATAGACTGAAAGGAAAACGTACAGCTGGAGAATCTGGTTATCTTTCTCATTTGAATAATTTGTCAGTCTGCGGTTGTGTGGATAAATATCTCCATTGTCTTCTGGTAGTACGAGCCAAGCTATCATAAATGGGAAGGACATGTTAGCTGTCTTCAACTTGTAGAAAAATTGTGTAAGGGAGAATATTATTTTGTTTTCAAAACTTAAAATAAGACGTTGTTGTATCTAGTAGAGTGTCAATAAAATATATTATCTATAGACTTTGATCCATGACTCTCTTGAAGCAGTCACCCATGACCTTGGTGAGTCTCCAGAATCATGAATGTCATCATGACATACAATTTCAATCATAAAATACTGTAAGCTGTAGCCATAAAATGTAAGGAGTCCTTTCAGACTCTTAATGGTTCCATAAATATGGGATTATGATCTTTTCTAAAGGTATTTAAATAAAATTTGCCATTTCAAAAAAACTTATATCATTACATTGTATCGTTACCTCATCAATTGCACCATTACCTGAGTCTGCAAGAAAAAAAGACGAATCAGTGTGAGACTTACTGTGTAAATGTCAATAGGAGAGTATAGCTAATCTGTATGGGGACACAAATGCCAGGTGTTGAATGTGGTCCACACACTGGATATGTGGCTGGCAAGGACTCGCTAGCCTCCTGGAAGCTCATTCAAATTTACATCTCCGTAAATTACTTCATGACATGAACCTTTCAGGTCACTTGTTGGGGACTGTTAGTCTTCCCAGCTGCTGGTTGTCACATGCCAGCGCACCTGTGTGTGTAGTGCAGATGACGTGCTTACAAGTTCAACGGTGTCTCTGTGAGGTTCTTCCGTTTCTCTTTCCCCCTTTTTCTGGTGTTGGGGATCTTCCCTAGACTGCCGAATTCTAGGCAAGTGCCCTCCCTGCTCCTGCGCTACATCTCGGCCCTCTTAGGTTTCCCCTTCCATCTTTTCACATGAGTCCCCCTTACAACTTGCAGCACCACACACCTGCCTTTGCTAGCTGCCTTCATGCTGTTCACAGTGTTTGCTCACACTAATCTCCTGAAGTAGGCAGTTTCCTCTTCAGGAGAACGTGCCATCATACTCTGCCACTCATTCAGTGTCTAGAATTCAATAAGCATTTACAAACTAAATCTGTTCTTGGAAATATGATGAAACCTCATTTCCCATCCCTCCCCTACAAACCCTGCAAGCTGTCCTATTACCTACAGTAAGGATGCATTTGGATCCTGATTCTTTCTCGCCCCACTGGGTTTTCAGCATGCTTGCCTGATGTTAATTGATGCCCTTTATCTTTGAGCACTGTACATTGTCTGAAGGATTATCAGCTCTGGGTACCAAAAACTGGAAAAACTCCAATGACAAGACCTTGACAACAATCATTCCTTATGCACAACTTCATTGTAGCTTATTCTCGGGGTGCGGCACACAAATGCTTCTTTGTACTCCAAGCTTTTGATGTTCCTGGGTAGGACAGAGGTCCTCAGTTCCCTATCTGGGGCCCTCCAGCATGCTCTGAGGGATTCCAACTTAGGTTCTTCAGCTGCAGTGACCCTGTGCTCTGACTTCCCAAGAGGGAGATCTCTGACTTGACTTTGCCTGTTGATTGAGTCATTACTCATTGTCAAGCATGCCTTTTAGAAATTATGGGTCACAGAGGCCTATCTTCTCATTGACCTTAGCAAGAATTTCCAGAAACTGAAGAACAGACTACCAAACGTTGAGCCTCCAAAACTATTAAAAATGGAGATGGATTCCAATCTGGCTGAGATGGCCTGAAGACAAGCGTACAGAAGGAGAGGTACAGTTCCTTTTTGGTTTATTACTTTGTGGGATGTGACTTTAGGGCCAGGGTGACCAGATTTTCTTCCAGGCGGGGTAAGAAGCTCAGCATGGATTGTCCCACGACCATAGACTTGGGCTTTTGCTAAGTCTTTTAGCCTGAGATACAGGGCTGCTTAAATAGTCTGACAGCTCTGCGTTATGCTAGGCTCTGGAAAGCTCATGGAAACGTGCTCTGGCATCTCCCTGTGCTATCAAATGTAGTGGTATTTTGTTCTCCAAAATATTGTGTACCCTAATAAACTTATCTGGGGTCAGAGGACAGAAAAGCCACTAGATACTTAGGATAGGCAGTGGTAGCACATGCCTTTAATCCTAGCATTCCAGAGGCAGAAATCCATCTGTTCAAGGATACAGCCAAGCATGGTGACTCACGCCTTTAATCCCAGAAAGCCAGCCTTTAATCCCAGGGAGTGATGGTAGAAAGCAGAAAGATATGTAAAGCGTGAGGACCAGAAACTAGAAGCATTTGGCTGGTTAAGCTTTTAGGTTTTGAGCAGCACAGTTCAGCTGAGAGCCATTCGGATATGAGGACACAGAGGTTTCCAGTCTGAGAAAACAAGATCAGCTAAGGAACTGGCAAGGTGAGATAGCTGTGGCTTGTTCTGCATCTGATCTACCAGCATTCACCCCAATAACTAGCCTCAGGTTTGATTTATTAATAATAACTTTTAAGATTCCTGCTACAATCAAAGGTCCTGTTTCTGACACACTTAAAACCATTTTCTTGGTTCTTATGAGTACAGCAACATTATTTTCTTCCTCCAAGCCCAGGATCTCACTTCTTGTTGACCTCGATATTATTTCCTTCCTCCAAGCCCAGGACTACCCCCCCCACCCCCCGCCCCTGGTGATTTCCCTCAGCTTCTGACCGTTTCCTAAGGGATTCTCCTGGAGTCCCTTAGGACTTTCACCCACAATATTGGATTTGACTGTTATTGTCACAGGTGTCTTCTATGCTTGTCCCTCCCGCTAGACATTTCTTCTCAATTCAAGGCAAGTGTTCCAATCTACCTGTTAGATGTTTCTTTGAGTGTTCTGACATCCCTGCTGTGTCAATGAAGTGGTATTCTCTTCCAGCCAGCCAGTGTCTCCTCTGACAACTGTTTCTGGCTAGAGTTCCCAGTGTTTCCTCACGATCAAAGCTCTAAACCAAAGCTCTAGATTCTCCCTTCTCCTTACCCCCACTAGTTTCTAGCACACCAGACTTCTGTCAGGGACAAACAAGACACAGGTTGATTGGGGTCCCATCACAGGGCTTTGAGGACCCACTCTGCCTTTCTAGCCTTCTGTCTCTTTGCTTTCCACCCACCCTAGCTGTCAACTCAAGTAGACGACTCACCTTTCCTGCAAGAGCCTTTTGCTCCATTTTGGCTAGGTCCTGTCCTTTGACTGTATGTTCCGATCCTACCCCGTGAAGATTGCTGGACTGAATATGTTGGGCAATGTGAGGTGCGGACAAGTGGAAAACCCCCAATCCCTGCCTGTAGGAATGTCAAGAGTGATCAGGTCACCACAGAGAGGAGGCCTCCCCACAAGAGCTCCTCCATTTTTTGGTTTCATTTCCAAACTCGAAGGGGTAACCTCTAAACTGGTTTTACAGATGTGGCCCCGGTGGGATTACCACTTGCAAACAGACCCAGGTTTGTAGACCACCCCTGTAGGAGGCAGACACCTTCTTAAACGTCCCTTTGGCTCTTCACATTCCCCACCCTCACCACCACACTCCTCTTCCTGCACCATTAGGTTTTTCAGCCAAACACTGACTAACTGCGGACAAAAATATGCATCGCCATGATTGCTCTTTATAGCTCAGGTGGTGAGATTTAGCTTTAGGATTTTCCAGCTCAGTGCTCAGTGAGGACACCTCTGTATCTGCTCCCCGTTAGCAGAGAAGATAGGAGGCCACCCACTCCTCTGAGACTTAGCCATGGCCAGGGCAATCTCAGTTTCAGGCTGAACCTGACCTAGAGCATCACAGACTCAGTGTTCATTTGAGTCTCTGGTCCTGGCCACAGTCTCCATCCCTGTCTCACCCTTACAGCTAGGAGCGGGCTTCTTTCTGACTCTTCCGAGCCATGTAGTTGGTTTTCCCACATTTCTCTTGCTCCAGTGGCCCCAAACCATTATGTGTGTGTGTGAAACTGGACATTTGTTCATACATACACATGAGTGTGCAGGCGCGTGTACGTTTGTACAAGTGGATACCAGAGGTCATTTTGAGATGTCTTCCTCAATTTCTCTCTGCCTTGTTTTTGAGACAGGATCTCTCACTGAATGTGGAACTCACTGGTGTGCCTAGACCAGCTGAATAGCAAGCTTCAGAGATCTGCCTCTGTCTCTATAGTGCTGAGATTACTGGTATGTGCGGATATGCCCAGCTTTTTCCATGGGTGCCGGGGATCGGAAGGAAAGGGCTTCACGATCGCACACTTTACATGCTCAGGCACTTTACCAGCTGGGCCATCTCCAGCCACCCTAAACTATTTTTTATACTGTAACTTACAAGGATCTTTTTAAAAAATTCAATAAGATTACACCATTTATTTTGAAAAAAATCCACAAATACATTTCAATGATTTTGTACTGCTTTGGGGACCTCAGAGAGCCGTGACTATGATGAGATCCTTCATGATGTGGCTCCTGGCTGCCTTTCTGCCTCACCAGGCACCATCTTCTGTCTTATCTGTTCCATCTGGACATTTTCCTTCTTCCATGTCATTGACTGAGTCAAGCTGCTTCCTTCCTCGAGGCCTTTATGAAGGCTCCTTTTCCTGATGGATCGTCCTTCTTTCTTGTTCTTTCCAGTCTCTGACCTCCAGCCTCTACCCTTCACTTAAAGCTCAGCACACAAATGCCACGCCCATTTCAATTTCCCAGACCCAGCTGGGAATCACTATTGTGAGCTCCTGAAGTTCCCATGCCTCTTCCTCATCTCAGTATCCTATGAGTAGTTAATTTGTTTGATTATTTAATTATTGTCTTTCTTGCAAGGTTATAAGCTCTGTGATAACAGGAACTACTCTTGCTTCTCTAGCCTTCAAAACAATGATGGGCACATAGTAGCCATTCACGAATATTTCTTAAATAACTGAATGAGTTGAGACCTTGCTTTGGCAATCCACTGAGCATCCCACACCTTCTAGAGATGTGACCCCCATCTCACTTTTGACATTCTTCCCACCATCAGGATGGATAAAAGATCTCTGCGTTTCCCCTTGATCATAGGACCCTTCTCCCTACCCTCAGACTTGGCAAACACTGCCCCTTTGTTTTCATTTGTGGGTCCCAGGTCCCACACTCCTGGGCTGCCCTACCCAAACTGTGCCGAGGACAAGTGTCTGACCTGTAAGGTGATCTGTAGGACCTCTTGGCCTTGCTTGCTTAGACAATGCAGCACTGGCTGAGGTGGTCCACACCTGTAATCCCAGCTCTTGGGACTACAGCACAAGGGGATTGCCGCCAGTGTGAGGACAACCTAGGCTATATCATGAGACTCTGTCAGAAAAAAAAAAAAATCCAACCTGGACCTCAGTCTAGGCTAAGTAAACACAACACAAAGGCAGCAATCTTTGTGAACCTTTACCATTGATATATGCAATTTTATTTTATTATTGCTCCAAACTATTGTTTCAAGAACAGAAAGAAAATCCAAATCACATTATAATAAAGGAAATGAGCAGTACAGAAAAAAAAAATAATACAGAAGGGAAAGAGAAAGCCCGAGACTCTCTTTAAATTAAGTATTGTATTTACTGGAATAGAAACTAATTTTGTCTGAATCGGTTCAATAAGTATCATCCACAGTGGAGGCAAAATAACATTAGTGTTCACACTTCCTGGGGAAAGTGAGGACAGCGCTCAGGATCCTGTCCTCTCACGAGGCACACTCGGAGCAGGTCACACTTCGCAACTCTGTTTCACAGGCCTCCCATGGAGCTGGATGGAGAAATCCATGCTGTTTCCCTAAAATGTTTGAAACACAATTGATTGTATCTTAAAATAGGACCACAACCCAGCACTGGAAACACTCATGGAAAAATGGTATCTCAGAGGCTTTGTGTCTCTCAGTTAACAAAGAATCAACAGTGACAGAACTCTTTGGAAGCCTCAGTTTCTCTGTTTGCATTCATAATTAAAAATAGCTATCTTCGTGGCTGCCTCTGGATTTCCCCTGCTCTTGTCGTGGGAAATGCCTTGGCAGCTGCTTGGTAACCCGCAGAGGGTCCCAGCTCCTCCAGAGGTGGTGTCCCTTCTCACCCACAACACACCCTCATGACTGTTGCTGCAAAGAATTTCAGACCCAGTTTTGTTTTAGTTTCTTTAAGCTGCTCCTAAGTGTTCCCTGAGAAATGGACATGAATTAGAGAGTGGGAAGAGAACAGAGCAAGGAGAAGATGAGGGAGAAGTCAGAGAATGGACTGGGACTCTCTCTGTTAGTCAGCTCTTTGGTACCCTAGTGAATACAATGGACGGGGACTCTCTCTGTTAGTCAGCTCTCTGGTACCCTAGTGAAAACAATGGACGGGGACTCTCTCTGTTAGTCAGTTCTCTGGTACTATAGCAAATACCCAGGGTCATCAATTTACAAAAAAAAAAGAGGTTTGCTTTGAATCAGAATTGGTTAGTTTGTTGTGCTTTTGGTTTGTGGCAAAGCAGCATGTCATAGCAGGAATGTATCTTGGAGCAAAATAAGGGACTCAGGATTTTGGCCTTTGGAGGGGTAGTTAAGATCCAAATATAGCTTCTCCCAACATGAATAGGGAAGCCCAGGAAGTCCTTGCAAGGAAGTCCTGAGGCTCAGTTTTAAGATGTTTGTGTATACACAAACACACACACACACACACACACACACACACACACACACACACACACACACACACAGGAGCTACTCTGTTTCTCCAAATTTGAACCCATCTTTCTTACACTAAGAAGTGTTTTCCCCCATCTTTATCTTCCTCCTGCCCTCTAGCTTAAAGAATAAGATTGAGTTCATGTCTGAATCGATTTCAATTCTAGGATAAAGATATGGGAACAATTATGACTGACATTGGAGTTCAAGTGTTGAGAAGTGACATGAAGACAGATTCAGAGAAGAATTCAGAGAATTGAAGTTCCCTAACAGCGACAGGAATCCTGCAAAGGGGAATGGGTTTTCTGAGGAGTGCTTGAACCAACCCAATTCATTCTCAAGGAGAAGGGAGACACACAGAATTGGGGGAATACAATGCACAGCACAAAAGCAGAATTCTTCGTGAGCGCTTCCTTCTGGAGTAAGGACCTTCACCGCCACTGGCAACTGCTACTGCTTGGGGAGAAGTTCTTTATGTGGTGTCTTTACATGTGACACACGTGGAAGGCTTTATAAGTGCCACATATCACTGCTTTAAGGGGCTTAATGCACTGTCTGCTGTGCCCCCAGACTTGGGTGCAAGTGCTTGTCAACCTGATCCAGCTGAAATCACCCAAACACAAGCTGCTGGGAACTCCGGAGAGAGATCTTTTTAAACTAGGTTATCTGAAGCAGGAAGACCACACTGAAGGTGGGAGGTACCTTCTACTACCTTTCTAGATAGAAAGACAGGCATGAATGAAGGAAGCTTTGCTCTTGGCCTTCTGTTTTCTGTCTACTGGCCCTCCCCCTCACTGGCCAATTCACCTGTCCCGTTGCTGTGGAACTCGTTCACCAATACTAGAACCCCCTTTTTTTTTTTGGCGGCGGCGGCGGGGGAGGGGGCTGCTAAAATAAACTGAAGCCCAGCGGCTCTCCAGGAACCTTCCAGGCCTTTTGTGCCAGATTAGGACTGAAGCACCCAGCTTCATGGACTGAGCAGTTGATTACTGGTCTTTCTAGCCTGAGACAGCCATTGTTGGACTACGAAGACCGTATCTTGTAAGCCAATCTAATCAGTTCCTCATATATATTCTATATTGCATCACTTCTGTCTCCTTAGGAAACCCTGACTAATACAGGGCTCGATTTCTGATTTACACTGTAATATACAAAAGTGTTCCTTTGTTTGTCATGGTTGTTGGGGATCAGGGACCACCCACCAGGAAAGCATCTTTCAGAAGATGCTGTAGTACTAGTCTGAAAAAAAAGTAAATCTGAGGAATTTGGCAGAGGTCTAAAGAGATTCAGCAATTTGATGGCTGTAGGGGAAAAATTAAAATATGACATCAAACAAATGAATAAAAAAGAATAATCAATGGAAGGAAATTCAGATCATTTTCTAGACGACAAAGAGTGATAGGGCCTGAATAACAGAGCCGAAGACACTTCTCAAGGTGAGAAATAGAAGCAAAACAAAGAAGAAGACTTCTCTTCACAGGGCCATGGGAACAGTGGGGCAGTGGGGTGAAGATAACAAGAAAGAGGCAGAATGTTAAAGAATAAAGGATGGATGATGGAAAGTGGTACAATAAGATACACGTCGAACGAGAACAGAGGGACCACTCAAGAGCATTTAGACAGGATCCATGATTCCCTGCCATCACTGAGGTGGAACACGTGATTGTGGTAGACCTAGTGGGCTGTGTTTTGAGACGAGATAGTGGCTAGGATGTGAAGCACGAGAGGCTGTGGGGGCTGTTGGCCCGTTCAGTTCATTCAAATACACGTTTTCATTTTTTTAAATTAGCATTTAAGGCAAAGATTAAAGGAAGTAGCCTGCTTGCCTGGAAGTAAGAGCCAAGCCCAGAAAGTCTAGGGCCCAAAGGGTTAACTGGAGTTGTTATGGGCTGAGTAGACTTGCAGCAATTCAATTGTTGCAAAGGTCCTGCAGAGGCCAGAGAACAGAAATAGAGACGGAATGCACAGAGCCCAAGGCAAGTGCAAAAGCCCTTTTCATTTCTGCTCTCTATATGTAGGGGTGGGCTGCAGCACATGCCAGAAGGAGCAGACAGGGTGGGGGACCAGCGAATGAGCCAGCTGGAGATGGGGCCAGCTGCTCTGCTTTATCCCACACCAGACTCTTAGGCATCTATTCCTTCCTTCCAGGACCTCCATTTTCTCACCAGAGAAATAGGCTTAACCACATCCTCCCTAGTGTCTCAGACAGGCTGGCCTGTTATAAATACTTTGACATGGTGAGCCTATGAACCCATGCACCTTATGGGGCATATTTTTGAGTGGAAAGGTGATACGTTTGTTTTTGGAACCCTTCCAGTCTCCACGGAGGACTGTTTATTTCTTTTAGTCCTCTCTGTGCCCCAGAACACTGGATTTTTATCTCTAGTAAGTAGCAACTATTCAATAGATAAAAATCAATAGATATGTATGATGAGTCTACCACATGCCAGGCACTGTGCTAGGCATTTACTCTCAAAGATGCCTTGAATAACACTTTCATCTTGTTGGAGTTCATAGTCTAGAAAAGAAGAAATAATTAGTAGAGAGTGATGTCTTGGCATAGAAGTCCTAATAGAGTGTGGTAGAAAGATAGGGGTTGGGGGGCAGGGGTGAGGATCCTGAGGCAGAACCCCAGAGTACATCTGCTCTAGGATCAGTAAAAGATGGTCCCTAAGAAAGGGTGAGAGTAGACTGTTTGCTGTGGCAGAGCCTTAGCTTGTCAAGGCATGTGGGGGTGCGTTGCAAGTTAGGAAACAGAGAGAGAGCTACTGTGGGTGAAGCCTGAGTTAAGGACAGAATGGGGAAAGATAAGGGTGACACATGATGTGTTGTTAGATGTCAAAACCATTAGAGGAATTTGGGACACGGGAAAGCACTGGGGTTTGAACACATTATAGCTTTCCTGGGATAAAGTGCACTTAGTCACGATGCCTTGTCCCCTTTCTATATTGTTAGAGTGGGCTTGCTAATTTGGTAATGGTTTTGTGGGTTTCTTTACTGTAATGTTATGGTCTGTTTGGGGTATTCAGATAGTGCCCGCCCTGTGGAATAAGTTGGAAATGTCCTTCCCAGGTATTAGTTTTTATGCTATTGCTTGTAACAGATTAACACAAATTTAGGGGCTTCAAGCAATAAAAACATGGTAGATGTGGTGGTATGTGTCTATAATCTAGCACTGGGGAGGCTAAGCAAGGAGGGCAGCTAGTTCTGGACCAGCCTGGGCTGTACTCTGAGTTCAGCCCGGACTATAGTGAGCTTGAGTTCTGACTGGAATTGGTGAGACATTGCCTCAAAAATTCAAACCCCAAACCACCAGCACCAGCACCAACATCAGCACCAGCACCAGCATCAGCACCAACACCTCCAGCACCAGCACCAACACCAACACCTCCAGCACCACCTTTAGCCACCAGCACCAGCATCAACTCCAGAACCACCAGCATCCACACCACCAGCACCAGCACCAGCATCCACACCACCAGCACCAGTACCAGAACCATCAGCACCAGCACCTCCAGCACCACCACTTTCTGAAACAGTAAAAACTAAAAATGTGTTATCTCGAAGTTCTTGGGGTCCAGAGTTCAAAGTGATTTTTACTGAGAGAAATGGTGTTAGCGGAGCAGAGATCCTTCTAGAGGCTGGAGGAAAAATTCCTCTCCTCATTTCCTCCAGCTTCTAAAGGCAGCCTCAGTTCTTCCACTCCTGGCCCAGCCCTCTGTCTTCCTAGTCATGAGAGCCAGTGGCATGGTACTCTCAGTATTTCACTCCTTCTCCTCTTCACTTCCCTCCTTCAGTTAGGTAGACCCCTGTCATCTGGTCCAGCTGGATAACACAGGAGACTTGCAAACTCCCTGTTCCCAAGCAAGGAAACACACTCATAACCTCCAGGGATCACAACATGGGCATCCAGAAGAGACCATTATTTTGCCGCTGTAGTAATTTTCAATTTTTGAAAGTGTTTGTATTGTACAGAACTGGTAGCATTAGCCAGTGAAGTTGCTGGGCCTGGAGTTTTCTTTCTGGAAAGTTTTGTTTCAACTGTGATTTCTTCAGTAGCTATAGGATTGAAAAAACTTTAATTTGAGACAGGGTCTTGTTAAATTGTCCAAGCCATCCTCGAATTTGCTATCCTTCTTCCTCAGCTTCCTGATTAGCTAGAATTATATGTATGCACCGTCATACCCAGCTGTATTTAAAAAACTCATCCATGCCTTTCTTTCCAGGCTCATGATTTCTGTTACCCACTTTACCAGGTGGGGGTATAATTATCACAAAAGTATCATTGTGCTAGTTTAATAATTTTACCATCCACACCATTTCCAGGTCTGTCTCTGTTGATGGATGGTCCCTTGTGGATCATCTTTTTCAGTTTGAATGTCTGATAACTTTTCACTGGATGCTGAACACATTGCACTTCGGGCTCTTGGGTGGGTGCTGAAGCTTTGTGCTTCTTTAAATGTTTCTGTGCTATGTTCTAAGTAACAGTTACAGATCAAATAGTGTGGTCCTTTTTTTTTTTTTTTTTTTTTTTTTTGAGACAAGGTTTCTCTGTGTAGCTTTGGAGCCTGTCCTGGAACTCACTCTGTAGACCACGCTGGCCTCGAACTCACATAGATCCCCCTGGCTCTGCGTCACAAGTGCTGGTATTGAAGGTGTGTGCCACCACCACCTGGCTAGTGTGGTCCTTTTGAGGCTTACTTTTGAATTTGGTTGAGACCAGTCAACATTTTACATAGAGCCAATTTGGCAATGTTCTCTTAAATAGCGTTCCTTACACCCCATGCTTAGTAGGGTTCTCTGCTCTAACTGTTTGGAATATAGATGAGCCCCAGCCCTGGGGGAGCTTCAGGAATTTTTTACCCTGCTTGGGCCTTTCTCACATCTCAGGTAGTTTCCTCACACACGTACAGGTGGTCCTCTGTATCCTTCGGTTCTATGTCTGCAGAGTGATTCATCCTTGTATGGAGCATCTTCTTAAAAAGCTGTGTTTATGTTCAATTTTGTCATGACCTTTATGCTCCCCTCTTATTACTCCCTAAACAATTCAACACAACAACGATTCACACAGCATTTGCATTGTAGTATGTATAAGTAGCCTAGTAGTGAGTTAAGTGTATCAGAGCATGTGTGAACTATGCTGTTTTACACAGTGGACTTCAGCATCCATAGATGTTGGTGTTTGTGGGATTTCCTGGAACCAATTCACTGTGGAGATCATGGAGCAACTGTATTCAGTCATCTGTACAAGAGAAGTCCTTTGTTGATCTCCACAGATCTCTCACTGAGCAGGTAAGTTCTGTTAGTCAACTATCCCTTATAACACAAAAACTTGAGATAAACAACTTATGATGAGGGAGGGTTCACTTTCACTCAGTGGTTCAGAGGTTGAGTCCACGGTCTTTGGTTCCATTGCTTTTGGGCCTGGAGCAAGGCAGAAGTATCGAATACTTCTGCTCAATTGACTTTGATGCATCATGGGGGTCAAGGAGAGTGCTATTGAGTAAAGCCTCTTAGCTCACGGTGGCCAGGAAGTGGAGAGAAAAGGAGCCAGAGGTTGAGTGAGACCTCGATGTCTTCTTCGTGAATATAGGCCTTTGAGGAACATTCTGGACACAAACTCTACCGTCTGTTCTCTCTGATAGTTGGCTCAGTGAAATCTAGCTGCTTTGGGCTTCCCAACCACACAGTTCCGTCTCTTCAGTTCAGGTAAATCCCTTTACCTGGGAAATCTCCTTTTCTGTTGTAAGTCCAGCAAACTTTCCAGCCCTGGATCTGAGACATATTTAGTGCCCACTTATTTTGTTCTTCTTGTTCTTTTTTAATTATATGATGCCTGAAATATTTTTTCAGCAAACTGTATTTAGTTTTGTTGTTTCACGAGGGTGGTGTTTTGGGTCATCTTTATTCCACTTTGTTGGAAGTAGAAGCTGATATAAAAGCATCTTCAGGTGAGATTACTAAAATGCCTCATTTAAAAATACCTCAAATTCAAAAGAACAATGCCGTGGCTGTAAGGAATGAAACTATGGAGGCCTGGAGTAGATAGGGAGCATTGAAATACCTTCAACGTGCCTAAACTCTGCATCATCTGCTCCGCCTGCCGCATGTCAGAAGTGCACACTGGACCTGCTGAAAGCTGCCGTAGAGCTGGACAGGGAGTCTTATCGACACCAGAGGCTGCAACACTGATCTCACCCAGAGTTGTAGGGAAGCAAGTGCTCATGGGCCCCTGATCACGGTGTGTTTGCCTGGTGTCTGTGAGGACCACTTCTGCCCAGGTTTCCGGGGAAACGGGCCTCAGTCCAGGAGGCCCCTTTGTACCTAAACATTAACCTATGACTGAGACTGGAAGCCATTTTTGCCAGGGCTCATGTATGCCTCTTAGGATGATGCTTAATTCTGTAGCAAGATGGCTTTCTTTCCGCAAGATAACTCAGATTTTTCTGGCATGGAGAGACTCTGGAGATGGGGGATAGGGGCCAGGAGCTCCCTGTGCGGCACAGGGACTGAAAGTCCAGTGGGCTGAGTGTCCCTGGTGACTGCCCTCAAGGGAAAAGGATGGCAATGGTTGTTATCAGGAAGTGAAGCTCTCCCAGGCCTGGGGTCCTTATTTTAAGAGTCTGGCCAAATGGCCCAGAAGATCTTAACCTGTTTCTCCTTGGACCTCCTGTCATTTCCTTTGTGGTCTCATTTTACCGAGGCAGCCTGTAGTAGCTAACTGGAAGATGTAGCAAGGCTGGCCCTGCTGCACCTGCCAGGCAAGCTCTCACATCCCTGAGTGACCATGAAGGTCTTTGTGTCATGGCAAACTGTAATTGCTTCTATAACAATGACAGATTGTCACATCGATGACAGACTCCAGGTGCCATCTCTGTGAACATGACATGGAATGATATGGGCACAGATGTATCCAATACTTCTGCTCAATTGACTTTGATGCCAAATATAGGTCAGGACACACAATAGGCATGCAGTCAGTACTCACTGAATGCATAAGCAGAGAGTTTCATAATTGCCATGGCCGGGGAGAGGACCACATTCACAGAGGCTGTGCTGGCTTCATGTGCCAACAACATAACCATACAAAATTGAAAATGTTTCACGTGCCACAGTGAGTTTTCCAATCTGGGGAGAATTACCCTACAAAGAACGAAGTTGTGAAGTTGTCAATTATCCCAGCTCCCAAGTTATAGGAACAAGGGGTTTCTTAGTCCTAACTTTGTCTTTCACAGTGGCCCTCTGTAGCAATGTTTGTTTTTCTATTTATGGGGTGTTTTCTGCACTCATGAATCTCACCTCCCCAAGGAAAAAGTCAGATACTTGCATTTTTACCTTCTGGACATATCCATAGATTCAGGTTCCACCAATTACATGCACTTATGGGAGAGTTTGGTGGGAACAAAGACGAGGAGGAAATAAGGACCGGAGACTGTTTTCTGGTCAACCGGCGTGACTTCTGAGCATCAGAGGTGGAATTTTAGGCTTCCAGAGCTCAGCATCAGGGGTCTGTTGTGGTCCAAGAGTCATCCCCTGGCCTTCTGGGTGATTTTATGAGCCAATCATATATTTCAATAATTTGTTTTTCTTCTCTGACTACAGTAGCCAGAACATTCTGCTCTGCAGAACCGAGAACCTGACAGATACAGCTTTGAACAGTTAGTTAAGGGCTAATGCTTCCTGTGGCTGTTGCCTGCGAATCGAACTCATTTCTACTCTGACGGAAGGTGAGATTTCTGAGGAATAGCTAGGTCAGAATGAGCAAGCAGGTCCCAAACCTGCTGGTGGGAGTGAGTGGGACTCTGACTCCTAAAAATCTCCTTTGCAGTTTCTGAACTCTGGTCTCTGGAAATCTGTCCCATTAGCTTGTTCCTTGGCCCATGTCACCTCTCTCTCCTCCCCACCTAAGGACACATGTTGCTGAGGCCAGAGATGTGTGATCTTCCAAGACCTTTTTTGGTCTTATCTCACAGTCAACAACTTGTAGAATTTTACTTACCACTATTATGTAAATCGTTTGCCTTTTCTCCTTCCCCACAGTTGCTGTCCTGACATTATAGTTCTCTTTGGTTCAGTTTCCTGCCCTCAGCCCCAACAGATTTTGGGCCATTTCCCAGGTTCCAAATTTCATCATGTCCTTTCCTTATTGTAACTGTTTGAATAAGAATGGTCCATGTATTTCAATACTTGGCCCCAGTGTACTTGAATTTTTGGTCCCCTGTTGTTGAAACTGTTTGGGAAGGATTAGGAGGTGTGGTCTTGTTGGAGGAGGTGTGTCCCTGAGGGTGGGCTTTGAGGTTTCAAAAGGCCATGCCATTACCAGTTAGGTCTCTCTCTTTCTCTCTGTCTCTGTCTCTGTCTCTCTGTCTCTGTCTCTGTCTCTGTCTCTCTCTCTCTCTCTCTTTCTCTGTCCCTTGTGCTTGTGAACTGTAAGCCTCAGTAAACTCTTTCTTCTACAAGTTGCTTTAGTTGTAGTGTCTTGGAACAACAACAGAAAAGTAACTAAGATACCCTCTAGGATGAAATCCTTCCACAGCAAGTGAATGCCCAAGCTGCATTGTGGTCTTGACACCATGAATATTTCCAACCAATTTCCCACTTGATCCTCATTTTCCGTGTCCTGCCACCCACCAGCCTCCAAACACCGGGATCGCATCACTGCCTCATGGAATATACAACTGTCTCACCTTGAAAGGTCCTGTATGACATCATGCATTTGACACACACCTACTCATTCTTCAAGATTTTGTGAGAATGCCACCAACTCTGGGGAAATGCGTTTTCATTTCCAGCAAGTGTAGCACCTCTCATTGTGTTCCCAAAGTGCCTCTCTATACTACTGTACTTCCACGTTGCCGTGGTTGTCATTTACACATGTCTTCTTAGTGGAAGTAGAGCATGTGTGAGAGAGAGCCAGCGTCCCCTTCACCTTTGTGTCCCTAGGACTAAGAGCAGTGCCTGACACTTGGGGTCTCTACAGGTGTTTATGAAATTAAGTAATCAGCAACAGAAACAACAGCAAGAGACAACCATGAAAACATCGGGAACTTTCCTTCCCCTAATGTTAGCTGTTACTAAAGAGATGTTTGGCTGCATGTATCTGTGTGTACCACATGCATGCCTGGTGCCCAAGGAAGCCAGAAGAGGGCATCTGATTCCTTAGAAGTGGCATTACAGACATTTTTATTAGCTGTCATGTATGTGTTGAGAACTGAACCCAGGCAAGTGTTCTTAACCCTGGATCCCCTTCTGTTGCCCCTAGAAATAGTTATTAAAGTCACACTATTAGCCATAACCATCCCTTCTCTCATAGGCCACCAGAAGGAATTCTTCCTACATAGGCAGCTAGAGGCAGACCCAGAGAGGGAAAGGAAGTACCTGCTGCTTTACACACTCCTAGCTTCCTGGAATAGCAATCTACACAGAGCTCACTAATAGTTAGGGAGTAGCTAATAGCTCTGTGTTGGCATCTAAGAAAACGATGCTTTCCCTCTTTTCCTACACAAGCAATGATTTTTAAGTTGAGGATGTTCAAAATGGCTGGAACGGAGAGAGGCATTTCAGACAGCACACGTATTTAAAAGGTACTGCTCCTTGTGGGCGGCCTTCATTTCAATCATTAACTAGGATGGCAACCCCTGCCAGCCAAAGCAGAGACACAGAGCTGAAGGCAGGCCTACTTTCATGCACGCACACCAATTTCTTATAGGAAAGGAAATTACGCTTGGAAAGCAAACAAATTTATAAGGAAGCAGGTAATCATTCACACTGCAAAAAAAAATACCCTTCGCTGTACAAAAGGAACTCCCACAGGGCACTTTTAAATGGGAAATGCCTTGGGAGCGCTTAAAATACCATTGAGTTTATAAGGAATCGATTAAGAACTAATTCTTGGAGAAACCAATCTATTGCACAATGAGGGCACCTTCCTGTCTTTGCTTTGTTCTCAACTTTTTTTGTTGTTGTTAGAAATGTCTACAGAGTAATAACGTGCAAAAAAAAAAAAGTGCGTTGTTAGGGTCAGGAGATTGGGGTTTGAACTGGTTTTTTGGCCTGCTGTCTGAGCCCAGGCAAACATCATCCTGTGTTCATGGATGGAACTGGGGCCAGCAAGTTTAAGAGTAAGAAGCAGAAATTGGAATAAGTGTGTAGGGGCCCATAACACAGGTGATTATTCACACACATACTCATTTTCTCGGACTGCCATTTAACAAATGGCCACAGGTTGGATGGCTTAAGCTTCAGACATGCTTCATCTTATACATCCTATGTTGTGTGACTCTATTCCTGTAGAGAGGTAAACAAATATCTGCTCACCCCAGACAGGGAATCAAGGACAGACCAAAGTAAGGATACCACCGAAGTACAACTTGGTGTTGTAGCGATCCAATGAGTTTTATTGGGATTATCCAAAAATGGGGTGAGGGGTTACTTATAAGAGCAAAAATTCCTCAGACAGCTACATCACCAAAAGTCCACTTCAGCATATGTGCACAGTTAATAAATACTGGAAACCTAGAATGCATGTGTAATCTGCAGGCAGCTCAACAGGTAGGAGACATTCTCCTTCAGGAACCTCAGGTTATCCGAGCTCCTCCAGGTAGCCTGGCTGGTCTCTCTCCTTCCAGGTAGCCTGGCTGGTCTGACCCTCTTTTAGGCAGGTCAACTTTTCTAAGAGTCTTATAGGCAGATCAGTTTGTTTGGGATGGTCTCTCAGAAGTTCTTACTGCTTATATATGGCTGGTGAGGTAGGGGCCTAACAAATCTGGTCAGTTCCAGGGGTTTCCTGAAGCCTGTGATCTGTTGACTTCCTCAGCTTAATGTGCTTCCCTCTAAGATGGAGGGCTCTGTCTCAGGAAATTGCTACACACCCTCTTTGCCATGTGGAGGAGTACAAGGAGGCCGGGTGCTCTGTAGACAAAATTCTAAACAGTCTTAGTAAATAAGAAACACAGAGCCAAATACAGAGGAAATAGCCATGACTAGCTTTAGCTTACCACCAGCAGTAGCTTTCCCAGAGAGAGAGATCTCTTCCTACCTAACCTGTGCTTTTATTGATTTCCTGTTCTGCCTTCTCATTGGCTCTGAGCCCAGCCACATGACTTCCTCATCACTGCCTATCTATACAGACCTCCAGGTCTCTATGGTTGGTACTGGGATTAAAGGCTCCTGTTACCATGTTCGGCTGTGTCCTTGACCACACAGAGACTCTGCCTGCCATGCGATCGGATTAAGGGCGTGTGCTACCACTGCCTGACTCTGCTTATGGCTCGCTTTGACCACTGATCTCCAGGCAACTTTATTTATTAACATACAAATAAAATCACATTTCAGCACAAATAAAATATCACCATAGTGCTCTGTACAGCACAGTTCATTTTTTTGCAGGAAGATTTCTCACATCCTGTGGAAACATGCTTCGGTCAGATGGAGTTAGTGCTCTGCCTCCGAGTGCCCTGCCAAAGCAGTCATGAGGGCAATGAATTGGTCACTTCTTTCCAAGTGTGGTTTCTAATACACTCAAAAAATAAAAAGGCTAGCTGGTGTTCTGAAGATTTGGTCCTGGAGGTTTAGCTGGACTAGGTTTAAAGGTCACAGGCTAGAAGAAACTACTTGGGGGACATAACTGTTGGCACGTTGGTCCCCACCCAGTGATCCTGGGATACTGCAGCAGATTGGTTGCAGTGATGGCCCCCTTTGTTCTCACCTCCCCGTACCCATGCATTTGATAATGGCCTCTCACACTTTTTCTTGGTATAGCCATTGAACCTGCTTTGACCAAGTAACTTGAAAACATGCCCCTTTTGTCCTCTTACTGTGCTCTCAGCCTCTGCCATGGCTACCACGCTGTCAATCTCAGCCAGTCTGCTGGAGGAAGAGACACCATGCTTACTTCATCACCCGACAAATGCATGGCTGACCCTGAGCTGCTCACAGACATCTGAGTGAGCCCAGCTGATGTTAGCCGAGCATGGCTTAGGGAGGCAGAACGGCCCAGCTAAGCCCAGTAGACACTGTAGTCTCAAACTTGTTCACTAAAATATGGATTTTTTTTTGGGGGGGGTGGTATTTATGTGGGGTTGCTTCATTGTAAGCTGCTTGATTTGGAGGGCAGCTTGTTGTGTAACAAAAGCTTTCCAAGGCAGGGATTTCCCCAGATTATTTTCTAGTACTGGAAATACTGGTGAAAACATGTGTGTAAGGTGTCTTTGGGTCAGTTTTCTAAACAGCCAGGTTACATTGGGAGAACTTTACTAGGACATGGCATTCATCACCAGTCTTGGCTTTCTGCCTCTTGAAATAACGGGATTTGGAGTTAATTAAAAGTACCAGTGATAATATAGAATATAAAACTCACAATGTCTTCTCACAATAAAGATGTATTTTTCTCCCATGTTGTAGTCTGTGTATATATTTTGTTTTTGTAGCTCACACATCTGTGGTCAGCTGCAAAGAGGGCTGAGGGCTGGCTAAACTTAGCTGGCTCAGCTGAGATGGCTCATTTCAATTCCGCGTGGTGATTCATCTTTCAGAAAATAAGTTTGAACTTGATCATGCTTACATATAACCATGAAGAGCTCCAGGGATTGTGATGGTGAACTTCACGTTGTCAACTCGATTGGATCACAGGATGTCCAGGTATCTCACTAAATATTATTTCTGCGAGAGTGTGTCTTGAAGGGACCAGCAAAAAAATTTTGGTGTACTGAGGAAGAAGTTCACCCTTCCCAGTATGCGAGGGTCTCATCTAACCCACCAAGGTCTTGAGTTGAGGAAAAGTATGGAGAAATGGAAGATTCTCTGGCTTTCCATCTGAAGCCTTGGACAGGAGCATCAGTCTTTTGCCCATGGTTCACTGGCTCTCAGGCCGTTATACCTCAGCTTTGCTGGATCCCAATTTTACAGACAAAAGCAGATCTTAAGACTCCTCAGTTTTTGTAACTCAATGAGCCAAGATTGCATAACCAATCTGCTCATATGTGTATAAATGTTTCCAGTTTATGGATGTGTGCATTTACTTATACGTAAAGTTAAGTGTGTGTATATCCATCCTATTCCATATCTCTGTGGAACCCTGGTACATGGTCCCAGGCTCCTTCCTCTAAGTCTTTCAGTGCATCCTCTGTGTTCATCCTGCAAACACAGAAAGAAAACAAGCAGGGATAATCTGGTGGGACTGTGCCGGGCACCAGTTGAGGTTGGCATTAATCACTTTCTCTTCATTCCATCGGTGACAGGTAGTCTAGATGCAGCAGAGTTAAGATCATGATCTAGCAGTATGTCAAAGGCAAAGAGAGAGGAAGGGATGGATCCTGGGGAGAAGCGGCGTCCAGGCGACTGTGCATTCACTCAACACTTGGGTGACTTGCTCGGCTTCTCCAAGCTTGTTTAACTTGCTGAGAAAGCAGGGGAGATGGAAGCACTGTGGATGAATTGCTGTGAGAACTGAGCGAGATTCCTTCTGCAGTGTGCCTCCTGTGAGACCGGAGGAAGTGGTAAAGATGCCAGTTCTTCTTTTGATGGTTGTATGAAAAAGTGAGGCCGCCTGGGGGAGGTAATGGTAAGGAAGGTTGTTCATCTGTGACTAAGAGAACTCCCTCCAATCTGTCTCTTCATTCTGACATGTAGCCATTTTCTCTGGGGAAACTGAGGCATCTCAGTGCCTTGTCTCTATGCTCCTGCGTTTGAGGTTGTATCTGGCACAGCAAGGGTAGTGGGAATGGTTTACCATGAGCATAGATAGTAATTGGGTATATTTCTGAAGAGAATTTTAAAAAAGATTTTGAATTTTTATTTACTTGTAGGTTTTCATAATAAAATTTATTTAAGAAGAAAAAATTAAAAAGAAAGTGAAACCAGCTGAAAATTGGTATATTTAACAATTATCATTATGTGCCGCAAGAGTTATAAAATGGTACTTCCTAAAAGAAAATATTTTGTTATTTGAAGACCAAACAATTACTAAGGAGATATAATGGTATAATATAAAATATAGTTGGCCCCTACAAGAATAGGTATGGACTATATATTTGCATTTTGAAAGTACAATAAAATATTTAAACTGTGAAGCCAGCCAGGTGTCCAGCAACAGAAAGATGGACAAGGAAAATGTATTACACCTACACAATGGGATTTTTCTCATAATTCATAAAGAACTAAGTTATGCTGCTGGTGGGAAAGTGGATACAACTGTAGATAATCGTATTAAGTAATTTAAGCCAGTCTTAGAAAGGTACATACCAAGCAGGGAACATCAAAGAAGAGGGGTTGGAAAGACTGTAAGAGCTAGTGGGCCAGAACATCTGCTGTGAAGATAGTGTCTTCTATCTAAGACAGGGAAGCTGGGCTTGTAGGACCTCAAATAGATGGTCATCTAACTGGGCCAGTTGCCATGCCAACATCGATGAGGGAAATCTCAGAAGGCCCTACGCCTAGATGAAGAGCTACAGTCTGTCAGTGGCTGTGGAGAGAGGGAGAACAGTCTTGTCCAGGGATGAGGCCCCTGACAGGTTATTTAGTTCCAAGTGGTCAGCCCTAATCACATATACCTATGAGCAAACATATATACAATATGTAACAATAATTAAAGAGGAAGAGCTCATGAATTTGAGATGGATTGAGGGAGACACAGGAGGAGTTGGAGGGAGGAGGAAGATGGATGAGCAGAAATGATGTAACAGCACTCATGTATGAAATTCTCAAAAAATTAAAAACGTGAAATGTTAGAAGTATTTTAAAAACAAAAAAGAAAGGCAAATATTATATATCTCATTTGTGGTTTCCAGATTTTATATAAATACACAAATTCCCCACATACACATACACACATATGATATGGTAGTAGAAGTAAAATTGTCTGGGGAGACAAAGGAAACCAATGGGAGGAAGTGGGGGCTGAAAGAAGGGATGGCGGAGGGCACAAGAGACAATATACAGAGCACAATATACGCAAGCAAGCAGTCTGGAGCGAACAAAAGAAATGATAAAAATACATTAAAGAGGCATCTGGCTTTCAGATTCATTTGAGCTCGATTTGCAAATTCTGTTTTATTGTTCTAAACTTTTAGGCATGAAACAATGGGTCACTCGGCATGACAGAACTGAAACCACCCAAGCACGGTTTCATCGTCACAGTATTGTTCATTTTCAATTTCTGGCTTAAATACAGGCATGTCTGGACCCACGAGTGATGAAAGACAGAAGCTTCTTCAAAGGGCTTGAAGGATGCTGAGATGTTACCAAGTTACTGGTAAGGCACCCAGTTCATTTCCATATACAGTGTCGGTTTGAAGCGTAAGTGATGGAATTCTATTACTTTGCTTGGTGGGTAGGTGATAAGGAATCTCCTTTGGGTGTCAGATCAGGCTTGGTGTTTTGTGCCCTGTCCTGGTAGCACTTCCTTTCTCCTGTGATTCTTAGGTTGTCTAGAAGTAGGATGACATCCTCAGGAAGAAGTCTGATGAGGCGGCTCTCTGGAATCCCAATCCTCGGGCCCAGACCTTTATCATATCTTGGAACATGAAGTCAGTGGGAAAAGCAATGTCCAGTTCAAAGGGGACACACACACGGCTGCACATGGAGGCATCCTGGATTCCTACTTTCCTGGATTACCTATCTACTTCCCAGATGCTCTTATGCTGCCAACAGTCCATACAAAAGCCATGTTAAATTATCCTCTGATCCAAATGAGTAAGTGTAATTTTGGGTGGATCTTCCATCCATTACTGCATTTCTAGCTGCTTCACAGTCTTACGTTTTTATGTTAATGGCACCATTTTTCTCCCAATCTCATTATTTTTCACATTTTACATTTCACCCAGCTCTTTCCTTTTATGTCCACCTTGGGTTAGACTCAAATGGGGTTCCATTCCACTCTCCACAGCCCATCTCTATGTTCCTGTCCAATGAACATCTCAGACATCACTTTAGCATGTCACTGGTCACTGGTGCAGAGGCTTCCTGGGGCTGTGGCATCAAGGGCACCGTGAGGATGCTGGAATCAATAGTGTGGAGATGCCTAGTTTTCAACTAAAACGTTTTTGTTTTGTTTTGTTTTTCATCTAAGGTTAAGCCTGACTCCCCAGGGTGAAACATATAAGTGGATGCAAAGGAGCTCCATTTTTCCTCCATGCCAATGCAGGGGCTCAATAAATATTCCTTGAATTGAGAACGGACCTTTGGATAGTATTGACAGTTGCACTGAGAGATGCACACCAATGTGGATTGTTGGAGCAGCTGGAGGTGTCATTTCCAGAGACCTCTTGGGAAGCCAAGTTGGAATACTTGCTTTAACAGCACAGTAAAGAATTTCAAAATGACTCAATTGCTGCAATTAATTAAGAGGTGTTTTTAATGTAGATTTAAGCTCAGTATTGGGAGGGATTAGGAAGAGGATAATAATATGAGTCCTAGAGTGGGCACAGGCTTTTCAATAGTTGCATTTAGATAACACACACACACACACACACACACACACACACACACACACACACACACACACACACACACAGCGCACAGGTTTACAAGATGATATGATTAAAAAAAAACCAAATAGGAAAAAGGTCAAATGAATTTTTATTATCCATAGTCCATAAGGAGGTTGATACATGTTTTGACTACCAACGTGGTTTATAATTTGTTTGTGAGATTCTCCCGATTCTTACCCAGCACAGATGAGAGGTTCCTTTTTCATATCGTATTCTCACAAGTTTCCTTGTGTTTCTAAACTGGCTCAGTGTATGAAAACATAACAACCTCCTTTAAGCATCATATTTTGCCCATAATCACCCACTGATTCATTTCTTTTGGTTACCAGTGGCTGTGTTAGTAAACTGTCCTAACATTCAAAGGCTAAAACCAATTGTTGTATTGCTTTTGTACGGTTGTGGTCGACCCCGTTGACAGTGTATATGCCGGTCTCTCTGGAGCTCTCTTGGGTAGGGGTACTGAGTGGAGTCTTACCTGGGATCTTAGATCTGATGGGCCTCTTTTGCTCGTCATATCAGTCTCAGGACCTTTCCCTTTCTGCATGGACTCCCCATGTCATCCCATAGGGCGGTCTCTCAACTGTGACAGCCAGACGTCTTACACAGAGGCTCAACATCTGAAAAAATGAAGAATATGGAGGATTTCAACCGTACACTCCTCCCAATAGCCAGTGGAGGGTCAGTTCCTCCAGATTCTGCCATGTCATCGCATCAGGTCCCAGGGGACATGGGAGAGGAATCTGCAAAAAGGGATCGATGTGGGGGACGTATCCTGTTAAAGCCACCTTCATGATTCGTGTCTTCTCAGATGAAAAATTCCCTCACTTACACAAACCTCATTCTATATGAAATGAGCCGAAAGTCCAGGGTCACAATGCTATATGGTTGAGACTCCTCATGTGCACTTCCTTAGAGGCAAAGATCAAGAAAGAGAACAATCCATTTGTCCTCCATTCTCCACCACAGAGTAGGGAAAAGGTCAGAAAACTACAGTGTTCCCTGTTCTAAAGAAGAAGGAAGGGAATATTACAGCAATTCTGAAATCCAGGCTGCCACAGCCCCTGATTTCTTCCACTTAAGTCAAGGGACATTCCGTGTTCAAACCTCCCTTTTTTCTGAGATTATTCCTCTCAGCTCTTGGTTTCAACCTCTGGCCTTTGGGTCTTGCCTCTGAGTCACTCTTCCTGTGTCTAAAGAATGGTACGTGCTAGCAAGTACATGACTCTAAGCCTCCTTCTTGCTCCACAGGAAGAGGGAGGGCAAACCTCAATTAACCATCTCTCCTCAGAGTCATATTCTTTTGTAGCTGCCTCAGGCATTGAGTCACAGGTTGCCTCTGTGATCTGCTTTAGCCAGTGGAATATTCCAGAAGTCCCAGCTCTAGCTCAAAAGCTTGAGAAGATCCAATAGCTTCTGATTTTGTGCTTTGGAATACCTAACCCCAGGTGACCTGTCTGTCCACCTCTCTGGATTGACTCCATGGAGAGTCCACACAGGGGATGGTGGTGGTGGCGGCTGAAAAATCATGAAGAGAGAAAGTCACCATTGCCCCCCTGATATCTAGATAACTTGCTACCAACTGATATATGCTGGTCATCACGTGAGAGAAGGAAGAATCCCCAAAGAACTTCTTTTTTTTTTTTTTTTTTTTTTTTTTTTTTTTTGGTTTTTTGAGACAGGGTTTCTCTGTGTAGCTTTGCGCCTTTTCTGGAACTCGCTTTGGAGACCAGGCTGGCCTCGAACTCACAGAGATCCGCCTGCCTCTGCCTCCCGAGTGCTGGGATTAAAGGCGTGCGCCACCACCGCCCGGCCCCAAAGAACTTCTTATAGGACACAGTCACACATGGAATTATGAGAGAAGAAAGTAGCTGTTGTTTGAGACTATTAATCTGGGATACTCTGTTCTATACCAATGGATGATCAAGATCTGTGCATGAATTCATTCAAAGTTACTGTACCTGGTGCTGTTAGGCCCAGGTGGATGCAAAATTCAATATAGATCCTCAACTTCATCCTGTTGATATATGCTAGAGAGAAATCTGGGCAAATAGAATTATTTTAATTTTATATTTTAAAGACAAAGGTTTCTGCACAGAATGCCTTTTTGGTGACTCTTTTTGTGAAATGAATAATCACTCTGAAATTTGTTGTATTTTTCATTTCTTTCAAGTTAGGGGTTTAGAGTAGTGAAGCACACCTGAGCCTTTGCAAATACAATTCAATTTAACAAATATTTTCTGAGTGCTTACTATGTGCTTCTTCTATGTATTTTTTCAAATCTGTCTCCTCAAGTGAGATTGGATTGAAAATCAGGTGCTGCTTTCCATCTGACATCTATTAGCTTGCCTGGGCATTATTGTCGGAGTTACTCAGGGATCCTGTTTTTTGTCTATTAGCATATATTCTTGCACTCTTATGCCTCCCCTGACTGTTTTCTTAATGCTTCAGGAGGAATTACATTCAGTTGTTCAGTTTCTAAATGACCTAATTAGCAGTACTTTCCCTACTCTTTCTTTATAAAAATCCCCTGTCACCAATTGGACTCCCTCCTCATCAGCCTTCTCTTCGTCTCTGAGTCTTACTCAACATTCTGCTAATGAGTTCCTGCTCCATTGTTGGTCCTCCATGGATTGCTGCTGGGACGTTTAGAAGTCTCTTTGCCTTAATTATAGGGGAAGGGTGTCTCTTCTCGTCATTCCCTGCTAGACTCTGCTAGCCCTGAAGCTCCAGTCACTTACCTTTTGCCTTGTTTGCTCAGGGACAGAGGCTGTAAAGCAGGAAGTCACCCTGGAGACCACATGGTTCCACAGAAGGACAAACTTTGGACTAGAAAACCAAGAGACTTGTTCAAAGAGTGACAACCAGGACCAGACCCACATCTCCAAAGTAAGAAGTCTTGACTTCATGACTTCATGACTTCGATGGGTGCACTACAGAATGGCAGCATACTAATACGACTGGTCAACTGGAGATTAACAGATTGATTAATTGATTAAGCTCTGTTCTTAATCTTGAGATTAAAAAGTGGAGGAAAATATGAGAAAAAAGGGAAAAATCTAGTGGATTCAGAAACTGTACTGTTCATAGCAATAAGTCATATATTTAGGGTTTAGAATTGTGGTCAATGCCTTCATGCTTCTTATTAACTTATGCAATAAACATTTAACATCAGCTGTATATGTATACAGGCATGCACATTCACACTATGTCATGTCCTTACAAATGTCTTTATTATGCATTCAGTTACAAGTTTCATGCTTGTGGCAACATCTCATAGATTGTTTTGCAGGGGAAATGGTGGTGTCATTTTTAAATAGAAACTTATCCTCCCAATTGGCCTCATAGCCCCAATTCTTAGACTCATCAGAGCATATTCCACAGTAGAAGTTCTTAGACTCAAATGCAATTGGGAGCCATGAAGTTAGTACAGGCAAATAAATGAGGCTGAGTGTTACACTGATGAAATGCCAGGTCTATGACTGCCTGGAGACCACACATCTCCTTTAAAGAAGTAGTTGCTAACTCATGTTAGGTGACTGTTGCTATGTAGGAATTCCAAGCCCAGTATTTCCAGAACTTCTGAATTTTTAAGAAATGGTAGATATCGCTAATGATTTAGAAAACTTTAAACCACTGCATGGCCCACATAAAGATATTTACTAGATTCACGCCTGGGTAAGTAGTTTGTCTTACTTGGTAAGAGTTTGCCCACTACTTGGTAAATATCCCTTTCCCCATCATTATTTGGCATTTTCCCTTCCCCACCACTACTTGGTATATATCCATCCCTTCCCCATGTTCAGAGATGCTCTCATCTCCCAGTAATTCTGCAAGAGAATGACATCAGGGCCATGGTTCAAACAACACTCAATTATTCACCTTAATGTCTTTGAGAAAAAAATCAAAGTTCTTCATTATGGTCCAAAGCTGCCTTTGAAGAGAGTTAGTTTGTGTTATGTAAAAAAAAAAAATGTATGAATTGGGGCTGGAGATATGGATTAATGGTCAAGAGTACTATCTGCATTTTGAGGACCCAGGTTCAATTCTCAGCACCTACATGGCAGCTAACAACTGTTTGTATCTCCAGTTCCAGGGGATCTGATGCCCTGTTCTAGCCTATACAGGCACTGCACATATGTGGCATACAGACATATATTCAGGCAAAACACCCAAACACACAATATTTTTTTAAAAAATCTCAAAAAAATGTATTGATTATTCTACATTCTGTCACATTCATGCAATTTCAGCCTCCAGGAGGTTGAGGAAGGTTAGGAAGGAGGATCTAGACTTTGAAGCCAGCCTGGGCTACATAAACACTGTATCAAAACCAAAACAGGTAATAATAAAACAAAGGATTTTTCACCACCAACAAAATTATCTGTTCTAGAAATGAATTATTCTAGAAATTAAAATTTGGTATTGGCTTTGCCGTCTGATGAGTGTGCTACATACTTGTTCTTGCCTGGGTCATGCTAATGAACAGAAACATTTTATCTTGAATCATAGTCATATTTTAAAAACCTAATAAGAAGAGTCTGATGTCTGCTCAAACTGTGAAGTTCAAGGTTGTCAATGGTCTCCTACACTTCAAGTCTAATTTCATGGTCCTATTGCTTGTCTTACTTCATTTCTTTAATTGTCAGATACTTACAGAGTACATTCTAAGTGTCAGACAGGCTTGAAACACTAAACGCACAACAGTGAATAACACAGAGCTGGTCTATTCTTCCACAGGACCCACTATCTGTTTGGGGCTAGAGAGGCAATAGCTTAGTAAGGAAGTGAATAAACTACTTGGTTTCAAATGCTGATAACATGATGAACAGAGTAAAATACAGAAATAACGATTGAGGGAAGGCTTTTCTGCAAAGTCATAGGGTGGAGACCTGCATGGTGAGAAGTGGACAGCAATTAAAAAATATCTGTGCAGAGGGCTGTAATCAGAGGAAAGGCCTGGGGCCAAAGCCTTGAGACAGGGATGGAGGTGACGTGTTCCTGGGCCAGAGAGCAAACCCGTTTGCATGGAATGTCTCACCTGCCTTCTTTCCAGCATTCCGCAGTGTTTACAACTCCAGTGCTGACTTGCTTTCCCGATCTTTGCACCTCTAAACCTGGGGGTAGGTGGGTGCTGCTTGCTTTCTCCAAGGTGCTGAAACGACAGTCCCTTCTTGGAGATCTTATGGCTTCCAGAGCCTCATGGGTTACTTCTGTGCCATGTCCACAGCAGCTTGCAATGTCTTGGAAAATGTGATAGGCATAGAGGGAGAAAATTTACTGCATTTGTAGTTTTCTCTTTCCTGGAACTCAGGGATGTTTGGCAGTAGTAATCAGAAAGAAAATTAGCTGAACCTAAGTGGCCAAGGTTATCATTGGTACCTGATAG